TTTCCTCAATAAGTCTTTGTATCGCCACATAGCTGAACCTGGATCTGTCAGCCATCCCACAACAATTTTGGAGTCTCCTTCAATTGCCAAATTCTGAACTCCTAATTGTTCTACAATCTGAATACCTTATACAGCCGCTAAAATCTCAGCTCTATTAGAGTCTCTTATTCCCACAGGGCCTGAAAACAAGGCTAAGATGTTGCCATCCTTATCTCTCAGCACCCCTCCTATCCTCGATGGGCCTGGATTTTCTTGGCTGCTACCATCAAAATTCAGCTTTACCCAACCTTCAGAAAGAGGCACCCACACTGCAGATTCCCTGTCCTTCCTCGTATGACTATTAGCCAGCGCTATCCAGTTTCTCCAAATATCATCAAAAGAAAATGTATGAAAGAAGTCCACAGTTCTCAACCAATGGATGGCCCTAGTCAAGATACAATCCTCTACAGCCTGAATGCTTTTTTCCTTTTCTTTGAATAACCTTGCATTCCTTTCTTCCTAGATTGTTCACAAGGCAGCTGCTCTAATACATCTCCACATAGTTTTTCCTTTTTTTGTAGGCCACACAAAAAAGAAAGGATCAAACAGCTGACTTAAGTCTGTGGTCAGATTTCACCTACACCCAAACAAAACAATAATCCAACTCCAAATAGCAACAGAAAAGGAACAAGATACAAGTAAGTGGGAGCAAACCTCACCACTAGCCCTGCAAAGTACACACCAGTTAGGGGACAAACACATGAAAGGCCTTTTCTTCTGCAAGCAGTCCAAGGTATTGATCTTTCTATAAAACACCTACCAGTAGAAAATAATAATTTTAGGTGGAACAGGTCTAGACAATATCTCCTTGGTCGGAAAACCCAACTGTCCCGTGGAAGAGCAAAGGGCCTTAAAAAAGGAAGCACATGTGAAGTAACCCTTTGGATGAGGGGACCATAATCTCACATCCAATCTAAGAGGGTCCAAAAAAACACTGCCAAGAAGAGACAACAGGTCTGAAACACTACTAAGTTCATTATTCCTCAAGCCTCTACGAAAACCAAAGTCCCAACTTAAGGATGAGGGTGAGGCATGTGTTGGGAGAAAATGAGAGAGAGCTTTTTCCTTGTAAAGGGAAACGGAATACAGGGACGGGAACCGGCCCTTAAGGGCAAAGGTACCCACCCAAGTGTCTTCTCAAAATAAAACAGAGTTACCAGAGTTGACATCATACCTGACAAAATTGAGAAATTGAGGGAGGATACTCTAGATTGCTTTCCACTGAGTTGCCAACGTAGCTCGACATGATACACCAGCATCCCATCCATTTTCCAATCTGCCATGTATACTAGCTATCACTTCATGCCACAACCTCTCCCTTTCTAATGGGCCACCTCCACAACCATTTTCCTAAGAGAGCTTTATTCTTGAGAACTAGCCTTCCTAATCCCAGGCCACCCTCCTCTTTACTCCTACAAACTATTTCCCAGTTAATTAAATGATCTTTCTTTTCCTCCCTTGGCTCCCAAAGAAAATTTCTCATTAATCTCTCCAACTTCTTAGCCTCCCTAATAGGAATCGAAAAGTAGAGAAAAAATAGACCGGTAGGTTTGCTAGGGTGGCTCTCAATAAGGTCACTCTACCCCCTAGAGAGATGTAGTTCTTTTTCCAAGAAGCTATATTTTTTCTCAAACTTTTCCAAAACCGGGGTCCAAAAACTACTCTCCTTTGGGTTAGCCCCTAGAGGGAGACCTAGGTACTACAAGGGACAAGAAGAAATGGGACAACCTAAACAATCTGCCACAAACTCAAGAACCCTCTCACTCATATTAACACCTACCACATAACTCTTATCTAGGTTTATCTGCAGATTGGAGACATTCTTAAAGTGTTGTAGCAAGGCTCTGAGATTCCTCACTTCTCGCCTATCACCCCCTTCACAAAAGATTATAATGTCATCAACAAACTGTAGGTGGGTCACCCGTACATTGTTTCTTCCTACCCTCCAACCTCTCACTGCCTCTTCCCTATCTGCCTTAGAAATTAATCTACTGAAGACATCTGCAGCCAAGGTGAAAAGAAAAGGGGAGAGGGGGTCACCTTGTCTAAGGCCTCTACAAGTTGGGAAAAAATCTTTGACCACCCCATTAACCAAGACTGAGTAATGGCAGGAGCTAATACAGCCCTCTACCCAATTGCACCATCTATCTCTAAATCCACAACACCCAAGGACCTCTAGTAAAAAGCTCCAAACCACAAGATCATAGGCCTTTTCTAAATCCAGCTTACAAGCAAAACCTTGATTCCCCGACATTCTCATGTCCTCCATACACTCATTTGCTATTAAGATCTGATCCGTTATTTGCCTTCCTTGCACGAAAGCACCTTGTGCTTGACTAATGATGGAGGGTAGCACTACTCAAATTCTCATAGAAAGCACTTTAGCCAAGATTTTATAGATACTTGTCACTAGGCTAATCGGCCTAAAATCCATAGGGTCCTTTGCATCTATCTTCTTTGTGATTAGGGCTAAGAAGGTAGCATTAACTCCAAGGTTTACCTTATTCTTGTCTACAAATTCTTTAAACACCCCAACAAGGTCTTCTTTAACCACATCCCAACAGTTCCGATAGAAAGCCATGGTGAAGCCATCTAGACCAAGTGCTTTGGATCTACCCATTGAAAACACCGCCTGTCTGATCTCCTCTTCACTAAAACCCTTTCTAACCAATTTACTTATTCTTCAAGCGCCTAGTCCAATCCAAACCTTCCAATCTTGGCCTAATATTCAACGGTTTCCTAGATTGATTTGAAATGATCCACAAACCATTTGGCTATCTCATTTTGGTTTGTGACTTCCTCCCCATTCACCTCTAAACTTAGCCACAAAATTTTTTCTTCTCCTCCTATTAGCCAATGCATGGAAGAATTTTGTATTTCCATCCCCTTCCTTAATCCATTTGTGTCTTGACTTTTGCCTTCAAGAAATTTCCTCTCTTAGAAGAACTTCTTCCAATTCCCTCTTTAGGTTTCTTCTCAAAACCCTTTCGTGCTCACTCATAATCCTTTGGGCTTTTTTGGAATCTAGTTCCTCAATCCTAAACACCAAGTTAATTTTTTGCTCCTCTACCCTTCCAAAGTGCTCCCTATTCCACTCCTTGATTTTGGATCTCAATCTTTTCATCTTTTTGTGGAATCTCACTCCCTTCCACTTCACCCCTCTCAAATCTTCTCTCCACCATTCCCCAACCAAGTGCGCCAAATCTGGGTGAGTTAACCACATATTCTCAAATCTAAAAGGTCGTGGACCAGAGCCTAGTATTTCAGGACTTAACTAGATAAGGCAGTGATCAGAAGTGACTCTAGGTAAAACTCTAGCTATCAAATTCCTCCAATGGTTCTCCCACTCTTCATTAAAGAGGAATCTATCTAATTTCGAACAAAGGGGGTTTTCTTGGAAACTAGACCATGTAAAATTGGCTTGTAAGAGGGGTAAATCCTTTAGGCCACAAGTATTAATGAATTCATTGAACTTTCTCGTGTTGGTTGTAATTGTTCTTTGGGGGTTGTTAGATTCATTATAAAAACTAATTACATTGAAATCCCCCCCCCACACCAAGGACCATCCCATAGACCTCATATACCATACAACTCTTCCCACATCTCATTCCTTTCTCTGCAAGTGTTTGGCTCATAGACATTGGTTAGAACCCAGGTGAAATCGTCCCCCACATTCTTGAACTTTAAAGACACAAAAAATCTCCCTATGAGAACCTCCACTAATTCTACAACATCCTCCCTCCATAAGGTAACTAGACCTCCAACGACTCCCCAAGAAGGAGCCAAAGTCCAACACTATGTCTGGTTTCTCTCTTCTTAGTAAGTCTTTAATTGCCCTTCTCTTTCTTTCACTCCCCAAACCTCTCACGTTCCAGTTGATGATTTTCATTGAAAAACTTCCTTCAAAAAACCCTTCCCAAAAGACTCCACCTTACAGTAGAATCTTTCTTCTTTCCCCTCTACCACTGAATTCGTTATCACCCTCAATATCTGAAATTAATCTCTCAACTTTCTTTTTCCTTTTCGTATTACCCTCGGTCTTCCTAGTTGATGCACTATCTTTGACCACCTCCCCCCCCCACCCCAAATTAGAGCTTCTGTAGCAGTCCTTCTTCTGAGGAGTTACCGCTCACTCCCTGTGATCTAATCCCTCCTCCTTCTCTTTATACTCTAGCAATGCACATATCTACTCCCATATCTTCTCTAGTTCCTCCTCCTGTCTCTCTTTATGTGCCACTTTTCCCTCTCTTAGCTCACTCTTGGAGTTTCTTTGGGTAAAGAAAGTGCACCATGCCTGGCTGCAAGGAACATGTTAGCCAACACGTATCATATAAATAAAATAGAAACAAACGTAAAACCAAAAACATCAACAAAAGTGAGTTATCGAAGCTCTACAGCTTATGCAAATTTCTTGGACCAGTCCCAACCATTCCCTCTTGTCATGAAAATCAAAGTATGGATCTTAATTTATCTAAACTTCATATCGAATTCATTCTTCATCTGAAATATATATTGTATAGCATCTGGATACTTCAAAATGCACTTTTAATCACAGTAATGTTCATCAGGCTACTGTAGCCCACCCAAATAGTTCGACTAAGGCTGAGTTGAGATGAGTTCAGTAGGCTTTGGACTTGGATTTTGGTGACAAGAGGTCCCAGATATTTCTTATCAATCGATTGGAATTAGGCTCGTGTCATTTTGACAAATGAAGAATTCGAGTGCTGTTGTTATTTACTTGATGTTGCATCACATAATGTCCACAAGTTCAGTTAGACATAGTGACAACAACGGACAATCAAGTTAGATTTTAAATCCACTTCTACATCCTTACTACTTCAGTCAGTCAAACGATCAAATAAATTTTTTTTCAGTCACAGATCCCATCTCTTCTAATGAGCAAACGCCTAACATAAACAACTTATTCAAATCAAAACAAAAAACAGAAATAAACTCATCACCTKATTGAACTCAAGCACATCAGACATGAAGCGAATTCTGTCCCCTTTATCACACCTGATATCATTGGAGACCCCAGGAATCGTCACCCCTCCAGGAATCACAATGTCCCTCCTATTCTTCTCATCCAACACAACCAACCTTCCATCAGGAAACCCCTTGGCATACTGCAACCTGAAATCATTCGTCAAATCGAAGCCCAACCCTAACGACTTAAAGGCTCTGACCTCAATCGGCTCCTCCATCAGCCCCCCACCAAAGAAAACCCCAGAACAAAGATTCTGGTGAAGAAGAAGAAGAAGAAGAAGAAGAAGAAGAAGAAGAAGAAGAAGAAGAAGAAGAAGAAGAAAGGCTGACTAAACCCTATAAAAGGCGATCAAGCAAGGGATTCTCTTAGGGAAGGTTTGAGAGTGGAATAAGATTTCTTCCTTCAGGAGGTGTGGCCTAGTATTGACTCCAGCAGAAGCCATTTACGACTGAAAACAGAGGATTTGAAAAACCAGAGGAGGCATGGAAATCGATTAGAGTGAATTTAAAAAAGAAAGGCATATCGTCTGTTTACACAAGAATTGACGTAAACATCTCCGCAACGTAAAGCGACGCTCTTTCCCTTCTCCTGTTCAAATAAGCAGACTCCTCGATGGTGGACTGTTGGTTCTTTGGCTTCTTCGAAGATTCGCGCGGATGGAGGCCGGAGAGTAGAGACGGTCAGACGGATATCATGACCGCGTCAAATATCAAAATGTGACGCAGTGGCGTGGGACCCAATAGTAGGTTGTTTCCTTCTGGTGGGGCTCGCTTTAAAGAGCTGATTGTGGGGAAGGGAGACCGGAGAATTTTGATTTCGTTTTGCTACGACAGTATCATGGCGCCGAGCTAAAACTAAAACCGAGAACCATTGGCCATAGATCTACTGCACTACATCGAGATCGAGGGCTTCGATTTCATTGTTTCCGCGTATTTTTATGAGACTGTCGTAGCAAATGTAGTTTGGAAAACTTTCGGTCAACGTGGATTACCTACCAAAGCCTCCGTCTTATGTGCATTTAAATTGAAGGGGAAATCTATCGAACTAGTGTCTACACGTAGACTAAAACTTTCCTAATGTTTACAAAATCCTTAAAGTATCCTTATGTTTTGTAACATTGATAACTCTGCCCCCTATCGTTAGTACGCCGTCACCTTCCGTCCACACGTGATTATAATGTGACTGTTATAAATTTTGTAAAACCCAATTTTGCCCTTTGTTAATGAACGACAATTAAACAAGGAAATTTTTGCAAGTCTAACAAAGATGATTGGAACTATATTTGCCCAATTTTGCCCTTTGTTAATCAGAGACGACCTTTCGTCCTCTTATCTTTGCTTATCTCGTTTGTTCTGTTTCAAAGAGTATAGTCATTTTGACGAGTCTTATATGAACTCTAGTCATTTTTCTCACCTACTTTTGTTTGGTTGTAATGCAAATAAATTTGCATTAATGCAAAATTATGGCAGTACAAATGATTTGAGTTTAAATTCTAACCTATTTTTGTTTTAAATTTTAATTTATTTTATTTGATTGTAGTACAAATGAATTAAATTAAGGCATGAAACAGAATAAAGTAAAATCCAAAACAAAATTAAACAAGAATTTACATTTTTTGCATTTATACTGGTGCAAATAAAATTGTACGGCAACCAAACACAGCCTAAATGAATGGTTCCCCCTTTTACTAAAAAATAAAAACAGGGAATAAGAATGTGAGCATAATGGTATGACTAATATGATATACCATAATGTAAATGACAAGATATGGGAAAGCCAACTCGTTAGTCTGAGAGATGACAAAATAGAATTCATTGCATTGGTCAATCATTGGTGATAATTTTGAAAGAGTTTTGCTTTGATAAAATGCTTTCAAACCCAAAGAAAGGCGAAGGACAAAGCCTTTCACAAACACAAATTGAAAATTTTCAGGTTTTGAATCTGGCTGTTATAGTGGGATGGGATGGGATGGGTCTACACCTGGCTTCGGAAGCTTTCAAGAAGGTTGAGGGTTTTCATTTTAACTATAATAGATCAAATACAGGTTTTATTTATGTGTTTAGGGAGTCAAGGTGTCATATTCAAATCATAATAGAGATGTGTGGCTGCAATTCACGGCAGATAGAGAGTGGGTAGGAAAAGCGAATAGGAAATCCTAATTTATTTACGGACCCTTAAAATATTCAACTGACTCCTTTGTCTTCTCCTCCATATCTTCATAGCCAAATCCCGTGAACCGCTCATACCTATTCTTTTTCTTTTCTACCTTTAAAATTTTTATGCTATGTTTTCTAGTGACCAAACTAGGAACTCACCAAAGGGTAAGGGTAGGGTTTTCACATGCTTTATCTGCTAATTTATCCCTAGAAAACGGTTTAATTGGAAGATTGGTTTTCTTCCACTCTTTGTTTTCCAACGTCAAGTTTGATGTCCTTTATGGCCTCATTTGGGGCCTTCAAAGTTTTGAATGCAGGTTTAGGCTTTAATAGTTGAACTGAGTTTTCACCCCTAGACCCTGATTCAAGATGCAAAATCAAAGTGCGTTTCAGCTTGGATCCCAAACTCAATGTTTTTTCTGTTGTGATTCATCTCTAAATAGACTATGGGTTCTAGCATGAATTTAAGGTATGATTTTGAAATTTTCTATGAGATTTGGAGGGTTTTGATTTAGCTTTGCTATTGCCACACTGTCAAAGGTATGGTGATGTCAATTGTCAGAAAACCTAGGGATATTTTAAGAAATTTTGTAAATAGTAGGTGAAGTTTATTTCTATTTCTTAAAACTTACAGGTAGTTTAAGAGACTTCCCCTAAATTGAACTATAGAAGGTGTTGAGAAGCTTATGCTGCATGACACGCTATCATGGGTGTGGGGAAAAGTGTAATTGCATTCAATAATCTTTTGACCAAAAAGACAAAAAGTGTTTTAATGGGTTGACGTGTCATAGGGAAGAAATTAAGCTATTGGGGCCCAATAGCCAAAGTATTCTCAAGTAGTTGTAATTGGATTCAGATTGATTCATTTGCACCCAATTATAAAATCTCTAAATCCGCATCGGCATCTGATTATCATATTGGATTCGGTTTTAGAATCATCTTAGTGTTTAAAATGATGACATTTTATAAAAGTTAAAAAAAACTTAATTATTTTTAATTTAAATATGTATAATAAATATATATATATATATATATATATATAAAATATTAAATTTATTAATTATAAACTTTATATAATTATATATATATATATATATTTTTTTTTATGAATTCAAAAATTTCAATTTGAATTGTACCATGACTGGTTTCGAGGATGTAAATGGATCAAGTTGACGAATAAACCCACATTGACCCGACCTTACAGATTAGGGTGGGAGCCTACAATTTATGTGGGTTTGACCCCACTTCCATCTCTGGAGGGATGTTGAATGACTAACTCAGTTATTGGATCATCAGTATAGCATTGGAATATTTGTATATAAAAACTTAGTTGAGAGTTGGGACATGGCAAGAGGGGTTATTTATTTGATACCCATTTTCATTTAATTAGTTTGGGACCCTAACCCATTTTTAACCATTGACATCCCACGGTGATCATTTCATGTGCATTGGAAGGTTAGAAGTGGTAYTAATTCTAAAGTAAATAAGAGTTTTTATGAAAGGGTTATTTTATCAAGTTTAATAGAATCTTTTTTTAGTCATTTACTAAAACACCCTTTTATTTTCATGGATTTTCTAAAACATACCCTATAGTTTGAGTTTTGTTAAAATACCCTATAATTTGCAACCAATTTACTTAATCAACCTTCCATTAGATGGAAATGGAAAAATGATAGTTTTAACCTTAACATCCACTAATTCAAACAAATTTAATATACAACAAATAAAAATGGATTTTTTATTATTGTCCCTAGTAAAACACGGGCAATAACTCCATCTAGTAAAATTTGTTGTTTGTTTGAAGAAGGAAGGCATACCATTGTTACAAAGAACCCTGGATGTCATTATTCTCTCCTCTTCATTCTATTGAAGCCAAACATTTTTGATAGATTCAAAAATCAAACTTTGTTTCTTTCTAGAAACTTGATATGATGTTTTAGGGGTACTATCAAAATAAAAAGGTATGGGCTCATATCCTTAAAACATTTTCCACTTTGTTTATATTGTCAAATTATCATTTTTAGACAAAAATACAAAGGATTCTTAATAAAATGTTGATTAAGTAAATTGGTTGCAAACTATAAGGGTGTTTAAGTAAAACATAAACTATAGGGTAGGTTTTAGTAAATCCATGAAACAACAAAGGGTGTTTTAGTAAATGACCCTTATTTTTTATGTATAATATTTGATTAATATCATTTGCATCCATATCATAATTTTATATAGTGGCCTTATTAATTGGTACGTCAAAATGATCAAACTTCTGTCCATGAATAATTTTTAAGAAGGGACTTCCATGTGGGTGATTTTTCCATTTTAGAGAAAATAWCTTGAAGTCTATGGCTTAGGTTGTGCTTGGATAAGTTTTAGAATTTATGCTTTTGAAACCCAATATCATAAATCCCCAATTTTAGGGCCCATTTGGTCAATATAAACTCTTGTTATGTTTGGTTTGAAGGAAAATGTAGGGAAAGGTAGGGAAACCTTTACAAACCTTGTATTGGATTCCCTATCTTTCCCTTCCTTTCCCTACCTTTTCCTTCAAATCAAACATGGCCTTGGTGTGCAAAATTTGTGTATTGAGAGTATAGATACTTTGAATCATGCCTAGCCTGTTAGGCCAAGCCCTTTAAAAATTAACAAAAGTTTACCCAATTAAGTTGCACCATCACTTCATTGTGGGGTTATTTTGAGGATATATCATAATGGTTAGATAACAAGGACAACTACTCATAGCTAGGACCACGGTGTGTTAGGCATCATTGTTATTTCTACCTAACTGGTTGATCAATACAAATTGGAATAGAACTGTAATTTGAGGGTGTTCATGATTGAAAGAGGCATACCTTAAAAATGTATGTATGACATGAATGATTTTGTTTTCTAAAACAAAAACAATTGCCACATTTTTGTTGATTGACCATTGTTTTTAAGAACAAATTGATTAATGTTGTTGAATACCCCATATGTTTATAATTGAAAGGTCAAAATTGATATATATATATATATATATATATATTCATTTGAGTGGGTGAAATCTAAACATTCTATTTGAAATACATATTTCTCACCAATTTGTATTGATCAACTCAAAACAATTTCAGGTAAAAATAGCCATGGTACCAAATACAACTTACATAATGGTGACATATCATGATATTTGGAATAAGATAGAGGAACAACAATATTAAACTAAATATGGAAGAAGTTACATAATATTGAATTTATGGAGAACAAATTAAGAAACAATCTCATCTTCAATGACTACCACCTATATATGCATGTGATTAAGAAGAACCAAATAGAAATGGGAGTCTATTGAGAAAACTACTCCAATTTTGTCTCAAAACAAAATAAATGAAAAAAATTAAACTATTTTAGTTGGATGGAAGAATCTATAGTATGACCATGTAAAGATTAACATCAATGCATCTATCAATGATGAGGGATATTCTTCCATCTATAAAATTGCAAGGATCTACTTACAAAAGTACACGCCTAGAAAAACCTAACAAATCAGTTCGGATCAAGTAGGAACACATGATGAACACACTAAATGAGAACTC